AATGAAAGATAGATTTTTACTAAACGTAAAATTTTAATAGTAATATTCAGTTTAAGAATCAAAAATTTAAACTTGTCAAATTTTCAATTAAATTCTATTCTTTATTTAATAACAATTTATGTAAAATAAATGACAGAATTAATTGAAATATGAAATATAAATGATTACTTACACTCTTGGCTTTTGATGTACCATTACATCCTTTCCAGGGAATGAAACAAAAGGAAGGAGTAAAAACCTTTAACAGAATACAAATTATTACTACTTATGTTGAAATGCAATGATGATTGTTCAAAAAATTTCAGACAGTGAAATTTGATATTTTAATGATAAAAAAAATTGAAACCAAAGTCTATTTTTTAATTAATAATGAAGCAAAGTAAGAAATAAAATTAATTGAAAAACGATATATAAAGAAGATTCTTACATGCTTAGTTTTGGAGCACTAGTATTTCCTTCCCAAAGAGCAGGAAAAAATGGTAGTTCTGAAAATTCTGCAATAAATCGCGTGATGTCAGAATATAGTCTTAAGAATATGCAAAGAATAAAGTATAATGGAATGTAATATATAAAGATATTTACATCCTTATGCTCTAGGAGAGGCTATATCCTCTTGCGAGACCTGTGACTCTACTACCGAAAACAAATATTTCAAAAAAAAAGGAAAATAAAAGACTAAAAAACTAACACGCCCGTGCAAGTAACAACCGGCGAACTCACTGACTCTAATTTCGCGTATTAAAGTATATTTTAATTGAATTTAACGAGAGCTATTGTGCTCTAAGAAATATTGAAAATTGACGGAATAAACACTGACTCTACCAACCGCATTGCGCACGGTCACAAAAATTCTGAAAGAAAAATTTTATTATAGGGAAAGGGATAAAGTGTTTGGTTAGTAAATACTGCTTTTATTAATTAATAAATTATCAACTCGTCGTTATTTATTTATTACACATAAAGAATTATCATACTGAATTTATGAAATATTTAATTAATACATTTAAAATATTATTACGCACTGTAAAATATTTCACAATATTGTCAAATACTTATGAATATTTCGTAACATAAATGATTTGTAAAAATTATACTCTGAATGACCACCATTAAAGGTTAAACATACTAACATAATTTGATTTGTCCGCCATATTTGACTTGTTTGAAATATTTGATTTCAAACAAATCAAATATGGCGCACTTTTATTGCCTGCGCAGTATTCAAACGACGCGATGCGCAGAATCGAATCGTCAGCGTTCCTTTCCGAAAATTATTTGTTAAGAATATGAATTGAATATCAAATAAATATCGTCAATTACTCAATAAAATAAGAAAATGAGTGTATAAATATGTCCACCTTCATTGAAATACATGTCAGATGTTATCATAATTGTATGGATTCATCGTTCATTATCGTGCATTATCCCTCTATTGTTCCACTTTCTTCCGCAATCACCATTTATCTGTGAAAAAGAAAATCAAAACCACATCAAATAAACGTGTAAAACTAAGGAATTATAGGAATTATAGGAATTAAAGGAATTATATAAGAATTGAACAATGATCAAGATCAAATGCCATTTTGGAAGCTGACAATATGAACTACGAGTGAGTATCTAAGAACACAATCAAAGAAAGAGATAATTTAAGTATAAATTGTAATATTCGATCAACTATTGATTTAAAACGTACGTTAATTAGTAGTAGCGTGGATAAATGATGGAAAGCAACTATGAACGATGTATTACACAGTAAATAAACGTCGCACGAACCGATACGTCTTAACGCTACGAACTTCAGTTGTATAATAACACCCCGCGTCAAGAATACGTCGAAACTACGTGGTGGTGGGGGGACATGACGGTGCTCAACCAGAATTTGTAAAGGATGTTTTCAATTTCGGAAGTAAATATATCACACATCATAATGAATATCTACGTATACGTTATTTAATTTAATAAAATATTTAATTTAATAAAATAGAATTGATTGATTAATTATACAAAAATAAGGTCTCTCTTGTACTTCATTGTGTTGATGCATAGAGATTTGAAACAAATCAAATATGGCGCACTTTTGTCTGCGCAGTAATGAAATGTCGCGATGTGCAGAATATAAACAATTAGTGTCCATTTCCGAAAATTATTTGTTAAAAAAGTATATGAATTAAATATCAAATAAATGTCAATTACTCAAATAAGGAAATAAATATATAAGTAAGTCTACCTTCGTTAAAATAAGTCAAATGTTGCCATAACTACATGGATTTATTGTTAATCATCGTGGCATTCCTCTATTATTCCTAAGTTTTTCCCACAATCCAATTATCTGTGCAAAAAAAAAATCAAATCCTTCAGATAAATATATAAAACTAAAGAATTATACAAGAATTGAACAGTGATTAAGGTCAAATGCTGTTTTTAGAAGCTCATAGTATGAACTATGAGTGAGTGTGACGCACACAATAAAAGAAAGAGATAATATAAATTGTACTATTCAATTAATTATTGAATTAAAACGTACGTTAATTACATCAAATCAGTAGTAGCGTGGATATAAATGATGGAAAAACGATAATGAAAAACGATAATGAAAAACGTATAAACACCATATGAATCGATACATCTTCCACAGTTTAGTTCCATCATTTATTATCCTTTATAATCAAACTACTTATACTTCAGTTTTATATATGTACATTTACTAACTATATGTACATTTACTAACTATATTTGATTTGCTGAGTTATACTAGTTATATACTTTGAGAATTTTAGAAACATAAACGAACTTTGCAACTGAACTTTTATATTCTGAAACAAAAAGTATTTTAAGGAATACATATCGTAGAGAACTAATGTTTTTTAAACTAATTAAGTTCAGGATGTATCAGATATCAAAATTGAAAGTATCTTAATTTCTACTTTACTTCTTTACTTCAAAAAATTTTTTCAAAACTATTATATCCTTTGCGCAAAAACATTGCACATAAAATTTCATACATTTTTCTACGGAAAAAATCTATTATATTTAGAATTCTATTGAGATTCATAATTATAAAACTCAATAATTCAATATTGTTAAAAAAGAGAGAATGAAATTAAAAATTATTAATCACTGTAACAAAATAATATTATCAGTATCAATAAGTAATAACTACATTTTTTATAGCAACGAAGTCGCAGGGTATCCGACTTCTCTACTACGAAATCATTTTAATAATAATTATTAATAAATATTTATAATTTATCTATTCATATGGATATTTTGCTTTTGCAAACATTTATATAAAATATATTTTGATTTTACAAGTAATCACTATAAATGTATATATTGAATATAATTGTTAAAATGCGACGTGCAAGAACCCTTATCCTAATCTAACATATAAAAAAATTGAAAAAATGTTACTACTACTAAGATATAATTTAATAATCTAAACATATACGTTTGAAAGTATATATTATTAAGCTGCTACATCTATATTCGAAATAAAACATTGATTTAATTTTTTCTGTTTTCATCTTTGTATTTCAAATAATTACGAAAATACGTATTATGAATTATGTTTCAACTATACATAAATGTTATCTTAAAATAGTGTTACCAAAGTTTCGTGAAAGTTCATGAAATTGTCGTCAATAATCGTGACGTCATGCGTTATATTCAATCAAGAAATAACCTGCAATCAAGAGAAAAACCAAAAGTTAGAACAAATATATCAAATAAAGGCAAATATATAAAAACGAAACGACAATCAACTTCAAATTCTATTATCTATTTAAAAAACGTACGAGACAAACTATTGGTGACCGTACGAATGAAATCGATGACTGAAGGAAAATTGGCACGAACAGTTTCAAAGCACTACTCGATTTCGTTATCTTAACGCTCAATGAATCATTAAACACACGCGTATTAATTAAATGACACTATTAATGAGATATAAATGGAAAAGTGTCGAAGAAGCAACGCCATCGAAAGAACGCTATCAATAGGTTAGGAAAAGTTATATATCTGATGCAACGTAGTACGAGCTGTTGCGAGATTCGACAATCGAATGATTGCCCGCGAAACGTCTCGTCATTCAATTGAGAAAGTAGCAGGGGTTGGGGTGATCTTGAACGAACAGATTCAACATTAACAAAAACCTTACACATATACATAAGTGTTATGTTTATATTTTAAACTTCGAGTTCCGAGCTTCAAGCCTTCTACGCCTTACTTTATCTAAGAAATGAGAAATTCTATTATACTACGCAGTAAAATTGTAATTTTAGCCATTAAACACGTACATCTTTAATAAATTATTGTTGAATTTGGTATTAGAATTGTTAAGAATTATACAGCATATGAAGTTAAAGAATCAACAAATGAGTAGAAAATTTTATAATAGAAATGTATAAGCATGTGATAGAAAATTTTACAATAGAAATATATAATGTGTGTAATATTTTACATGCGTGCATGATTATCTTCCAGAACTTAATATATTAGATACATCAGTCGTACAGACTTCTAAAATTCAGAAGAAATTCTTAAAAAATGACGAAAATATTCTTACACTCGATGAAAAATTCATACTACTTGTCGATATTTTCTCTGTTCTATACCTCGTCTGTAGTAATAATTTCAACTTGCTCTCTGAGTCATTTATTCTTTCAAGAATGACGCAAATTTACTAAGCCTTGCTACTGTCTTGCTCAAGTTTCTTTTTCATTTTCTATGTGTTCTTTATGTATT